TGGGCGGTAGTAATCTACCTACCTGGTGGCATCAAAGATGGCAAGTAAGCGCACATCGCGGAGAAGTTGCCATCTTCCGCGGCAGCTCGCGAGTGATTGTAGGTTTTATTAATCTTGTATAACCTTATACGTAATTATTTCGCTCATTAAATTTTGATGACGGAGACAGCCGCAAAACTGCTACCTCGCGCGCGGTGAAATTTAAGTGCGCTAACTTCAAGCGCCACTACCTTAACCATTCGACTGCTCGTTCAACCATTGCCGTTTGCGACAACAATAGGAAGAACGCACTGGTAAGTGGCCGCCTATAAGAAGGATCGATACATTGCGCGAGAGACTTTGATCTGAAAGAACAGCCGATTGATAAGAGCGAAAGAGGGGCGAAATCGGTGCAGACGAGATTTAGAAGAAATTGCCAAACAAGATGGTGTTCTTTATGGTTCTAAAGCATTACTAGATTTTTTCCTCCGTAAAGAAATCGTCGTTTCAAAAAAGATAAACTCATATGATGAAAATCAAGGTTTTTTGATGGAAAGTAGAATTTTTGATTATTTCACTGACGTAAATTGTGTGCTATCGCCGCAATTCGCAAACTCACAGGCCGTCGGCAAAGGTGCCAGCACGTGGTAGGGGCACGTCGAAATGCCGGCAGCTTCCTCTCTCAAAGAGCACGCTATTTCTCGTGCTCTGTGACCCACCGGCAGCTGCCACCTCGCGGATTTCGACGAGCTGCCTGCAGGTTGCCGGCAACTGACCTCGCGAAGTTGCCGGCAGCTACTCTTGCACTTCCATATATTTTTCTACAAGATGACTTCTGGAACCGTAACTTTCGATAAAGGTTTCTATTGGGCCGAGGTGGCATCTTCATCGAGAATTTTTTTTGGAAAAAGGTCTGAGACGGCCTAAATTTGGAGTTTTAGTTTCTGGCCACATCACGAAAAGGTGCCAGCGACCTGCCGACGAGACCTGCCGCCTGCCGCCAGGTCGGGGGGGGGGGGGGGAGATTACTACCGGCCCTGATGCTGAAGAACGGCGCGGTATACATCACATGGTATCGCGACACAATATCCGTTCGAAAAGCGCGATCTGATGCCATTTCTTTCATTGCCAACTTTAAAGTCCGATCATTATTCGAGCAGATAGCTTGTGATTAGACTCCAACATTTTTCTGTCACCAGTATGCAAGCACTAAAATCATCTAGCTCGGCGTGATCCTAGTAAGCCCTGCAGCGAAAGCTTGATTATGCTTATTCTGGACGAAGCAAATATTAGCTCGTTTCATAAGTTTGTACGTTTCAATTTTCGTCCTCATCTCTTTGAGGAGTGGCTGATTTGCGGCAAGGTGCATATATCATTTGGAAAGGCTGATTGTGCTTTTTAAAATATGTCTACTGATTCTGGCGGAAAGCTGATTCACTCGGATCTCGTCGCTCCCATATATGGAAATCTCAAAAGGCAAAAAGGAAAAACTTTTAGATTATGGAACGTGGCGCTCGAAACATAAAACAAAAAAGGATTGGATTGCTACAAAGAATCAGGGGCTGAGCAGAGTGTTTCTGAACAAGACTTTTCGGGACACAGGCAGGACGTCCTGCATAAAAAATTGCTGTACAAGTAGGCGATGGTCAACCATACCGTATGCAATCCTAATGTTTCGCCTAACCAGGTCCTACCGCGGAAAATGCCTAACAGACAGATTCACTGCGTTTTTCTGTAGACGAAACAACCACCTTGGCCTCCTACGGCAAACGTCGTCAGAATGTTCTGAACGATTTAACTGGAGATTCAGTACCCAAAGTACTCTCCAAATCTCTACCAGATTATCATTTGCGCTCTCTAGCAAACCTTATAAATGGTGCATGTATCGATTTGAGTAAGTAGTTTGAGCGCTGGTTAAATGACCTTGGAACCCCGCACGCTGAAAAACCGAGATTGAGAAGCTAATAAGAATGTGCGAAAAGGTCGTACGCTACAACGAGGAATATAATTTAGATTGATTTTTACTGTAAATTGATGACTTTATTGGTACATAGAACGTTACGTACTTATAAAACGACCTAATACATGGCATAGCATATGTGGCTCAACGACATGTCATATCATTTTGTAATTGAGAAGCAAATGAAATGTTGTTCTTGCAGGGTTCGAGGCACAATTCAGAAAAAAATGCATCTGTTTGTTTTTTCCGGTTTCGATGCAGTCAAAGCTAAAGCTAGTTTTTGTACAAAATTGACCGTGCACAAGATTTCGAGGGGTTGGAAGACTTTCCCAACAATCAAGCAAATGTCGCCTCTCCCCTCATTGTTCCTCCAAACACGGTGACCCTATCACTACTGTCCATCGCTGTGAGGCATGTGCTATTCATATACACATATCCCCAGCAATCTCTTTCCCCCTGTTCCCCTCTTATACTCATCCTCTATAGATGCCCATCACGCTCACCAATCCCATTCTCCGCAAGACCAACAACCTTCAATAAGCTATTAATTAATATACACACATCCTCAACAATCAATAAGCTCTTCGTGGACGGGCAGAAATGAAAAACTGCACCCCAAAGCAAAAAATGCTTTTTTTACAACGAAGAAAAAAGACACGGCACCGAATTTGGTGTATGTGTGCACCATGTTGAATTGGAAAGACGTATGAAAAAGAATGAAAAAGTTGCGAAGTGAAAACATGGCAACCTTTTTCGAAGTTAAGTACCTGGGCCGGTACTAATCCTCCCGACCTGGCGGCATGTTTCGCCGTCAGGTCGCCGTCACCTTTACGCGAAATTGGCGGGAACACCATCCTCAAGTCTCTGCCCTCCAAACCCTTTTCACCACGATTTCCTGGTCGAGCAGGTCATTGTGACCTTACAGAACCTCACTTGGCAAATAAAGATTCTAAAAATCCCCCTGAACAAAACTGTTGAGGTAGGCAGGAAGTGCTGGCGGCAACTTCGCGAGCTGACCTGGCGGCATTTCGTCGAAATTTTAGCGCTGAGGGATGCCGCCAGTTCAGAGAGCACGAGAAATAGCGTGCTCATTTGAGAGATCAAGGTGCCACCATCCCGACGTGCCCCTACCCGTCGAGGTAGCGGCACCTTCCTGACGGCGTCTGTGAAATTGCTTTGCGCGCAATATCACACAACTAACGTCCAGCAAAAGAATCAAAAAATTTCCTTTTTTTACCGAAGAATTATCACTTTTGCCATTATATAGTTTTTCTTCTCCAAATTGATGGATATGCATGCACAAGAAACATCCAGTGATATTGCGAAACCATAAAGAACGCCATTTTTATTTTGCAATTGCTAAAAATCTCATTTGCAACGTTCGTCTCTCGCTCGCTCTTATCAATCACTGTTTTTTCAGGTCAGCGTCTGACATCCAGTGCACTGATCATGCCCTCATACAAGGGCCACTTAGGTAGCGTTCCTATCACACCTGCCGCAGACAATACAAATTGAACAAGTGGTCGAATGGTGAGTGCATCTGCGTTGTGGTTGACGCATGCAGGTTCGAACGCACGCGATGCGACTGTTTTGCGGCTATCAGCGCCACCAAAATTTCATGTGCATAGGACTGCGGAGTGAGACTATTTGGTATTATCAAAGCCTATGATCAATTCGCGAGTTGCCGTCGGAGATGGCAACCTTCCGTGATGTGTGCTAACTTGGCGGCATCTTTGATGCCGCCAAGTAGTGTAGATTACTACGGCCCTGAAGACACCAAACGCGAGACCTGCTGCGATGGCTCAAAAATTAAACAAGTGGTAATATTTGATTTTTATCATATAGCGTTTGTGTTTAAAACTATTATTACATACATCTTAAACCCTACAGACTAGTTCCTAAATTTCCTCAAATCCCCTTATCTCCTACTGATTGTCCTCCACTTAAAAATTTTCAAATGGCGGCGGCATTCCTACTAGTCATGGTGAACAGCGGACACATCTTGCCGCCAATGCGGAAAATGCAAACGGTCCCCTGTTTACATCTTAGATGTTTTTTTTCTGTTTTCGCAATTCTTCGCGAAGCAACGAGGACTTTGTTTTCGGAGCTTTCGGCAGCCGCAGTGCGATGGGCCGTTCGAATATCAAGCTTAGAGAAGAGGTTCGGCTTTGTAGAGTGCAAAATTAACTTGATTTAAATTTTTGAGGAAGGGACTGCTGGTAGTAATTTGAGTCAAGTAAATTGTTTGTCATGAAAAATCTGTTTGACACAAAAAAATTTAAGACAACAGAATTCTGCCCGCTTTCAAAAGGTCACCTTAGAGGTTAGCCGTGTAATAACTGTTTTTGCAGCAAGTGTGCTTACCACATTGACGACAACGTGATCCACATGGTGAGTAATGGCTTAGACTTTGTTAAAAGGATGACGACAAAGTGATCCACATGGTGGGTCATGGCTTAGATTTTGTTAAAACGACTGCTGTCTTGGAGTAAACTTCTCAGAATTTCTCTTACGCTCTCACCCTGGAAGATGTTTTTGTCTTTCTTGCCCCTTTACGGAATTACTCTAGGTATACTGTAGTTGACCATCTGCATGATTTTAGCTTGAAAATTCTGACTTATCCATGGAGGCATTGTCTCGACAGAAAACTAAAAATGGCACGTTGTCATCGATGTGTCGAAGGTAGACATATGTATGTTTCAAGATGTAAGCTCTGCTCTGAATCCTGTACGTCTTAGAAAGTGCTTGATTCCACTATAAGGGAACGGCCATAGGGCGCCGGCAACGGTTGCCGAGGTTGCTAGGTTTGCCGAGGTTGCCGGCGTGCCGGTCGTTGCACGCCCTCATGATAGCCTCCACGTTTCTCTAAGCTGTTTCTGGTTTCCGGTAACGCCGGAAACCTCGGCAACCGTTGCCAGCAGCCTATGGGCGTTCTTTATTCAAATGATGGCTCAACTAAAAATTGCTTGGACTTTACATTATATAATCATGACAATGGACAGGATTGCATTGTCCATTCAGAATGTATCAGCAACAAAAAAAATATTGATAGAATACTCACCGTCCGCCGTTTCCAAGACATGAAGATAGTGTTGAAGAGCTCGGCAACAATATATATTTGTAGTGCTGAGAAAAGTTAGCAAAGTTTATTTCGTAGGTTGTTGAGCTCTTTGCTGCAAGCTTTTTGCTCAACTGCAAACGAGACCATATAATTTCAGAGAGATTCAGGATGCCACCTGGAAGCTAGAGATTTTGTCTGAAACAATCGAATGCATAGAAATTAGTCTTGCAAATCTCATGACATGGAATTCTAAAAAAGTGACAAGGATGGACAGCTGTTAGGGTGCGAACAGATCTAACCACACTTCGATTTATGGAGACATGTTGAATTTATCGACTACAATATACTCTAACAAGGTTATGTAAATGGAAATGGAATTTTCATAGAGGATTTTAAGCCTTTGCCGTAAATGAAGGTAACTGGCTAATCAGGAATTTCATTTGTCCAAAAGGTTAATGGTATACTGTAATGGAGTTAGACAAGGACGCTCACGAGCAGTTGTCTATAGTCCCTTCCTCCTCGCTATCGTACACACTCAAACAGTGAGGGAAGGAGGGAGGAATTGGGTGTGATGATATATTCGAGGAAATAACTTGCTTTTCATTGCTACTAATCTTCTAAATCTTCTACGAACCTATCTGATTTCTGAAAGTACTGGACTCGCAAAATCTCTAGTTCATCGAATTCTGAAAATCCAGAAATCATTCTAAGGTTTTTCTTGAGTGCCTGACTAAAACTTTTTTTGTGTTTTTTCTAAATGACGTTTCTTCAATACGTCTTCAAAAAACAGGTTTTGCAGTCCTAATACAAAAGCTCTAGACGCACAAAATCATGAAAACTGCAGTTGAAAACTTATTTCCATTTCAAGGGAACTTAAGGCAGTTGAAAAAAATTAGTAAAACACGAAATCAGTATTCAAGAAATCACTACAACTTGGACACCAGGACAATACTCGACAGTGTAAAGCGACCATGCAAGCCTAAATAGCACTTTGTGTAATACGACACCTCCCTTATTTTTCAAATAGTCCAAAAATTTACGTTTATCCAGGCCTCAGTTGAGTTGCAAACCAAGTAAACAGATTTTTGAACATTTTTAAAGTTGCTGTTTTTATCACGATAGAAAAAATTTGAAAAAAAAATTACACAAAATACCACCAACATTTAAGAGGATTAATTTACGGGTGGCGAATAAGAACTAATCGCCGATCAAAAGAGACTCCGCGCCTGCTCTGATAAGCAAGCGGAGCAGGGTGAAGGACTATTCGCCTTCATCAATGCCTAAACCTATATTCCTGGTAGATGTCAAAGAGGCGGGCTCGGAGTCGCCTTTAACAAATGATCTCCCGCCGGAAGATTTGAGCGAGCTAGCCGCTCCTGTGAGTAATAAAATCGTTAAACACAGTGATATATTAAAAGCTCACTTAATCTTGGAAAAGCCAGTGGTAAGGCAGCGTCACTGGGGACAAGGTTTGAAGGGCGATTTGGGCTGCTGAAAACGAGGCAGGCAGTAATGACGATCTGTATTTACAAAGCAAGGACGCTGGCATTGGCCCTATCAAAGACCTCATGGCGCAAGCAAAGAAGATCAAATACGACGTCATCGGACTGCCAAGACAAGGAAATACCATCCGCTGAACGCCACGATTGGTACTGGAGGGAGACTGTTTTTGGGAACATGCGACAGCAGAGGAGTTGACTGTGTAGGAGTCCCTGTCAATACGATTTGGCCATGGGTATCGATTCATTCAAACAACTCACAACTCGAATCGCACGTTTACAAACATCAAGATGTGGATGGATCCCAGCCTTGGCAGCCATCACAGCGTAAGCCCCAACATCAAGACGCGGTTGAGGTTTCTATATGAATTTGGAGAGACTGCAGAGAAAAACAAGAACAACAAAAAAAAACAAGTAAGGTCATTTTTGGTGACTTTAACGCAAAGACGTAGCAAGAAGATCGCCTGCAGAGCTTCACATCGATACTCGTGTCGAGACCTACGGACTACAGTGGAACGAACAAGAGGAGAGATTGTCCGAGTTATCATGACGACAAGGATTTTCTAAGGGAACTCACAGTTCCAAAAGCCTTTTTTTCCTATACTGAACCCGAAAAGCGCCCGAAGAGTACCATAACGAGATTGACCACATCATCGTCAACAGAAGGTACTGCCTGACCGACTTCGATGTTGTTCCGAAGTTCTACACGGGATCAGAGCATTGCCTTCTGCGAGCATACAGGCATTCACCAACTTAGTTCAAGCTTGCGCAATGCGGAGAAGCGATCAAGGAGGATCTTAAGGGCTTCTCGCTCCTCTTCAACATGTTCATAGTGAAGGGTAGTAGGAATACTTACGGATAGGTACACTACGTGAAATTCAGATATCTGGAGCTTCAGAAAATGAAGCTTTCTTTTAAGCTGCAATCCCCTCCCCGCGGGGAGGTTAGTGCGCGGCCCTTAGAGTCCTCGGGTCGACCATTACCTGTGTTCTTCTCTCCTTCGATAGAGTAAACCTTATAGGATACAGCCCTACTTTTTTCTCTTTCTCGCAGCTCGCCGTAATTTTTTGAAAGTTTTTTAAGAGAACAATCGGATTTTGGCAGGCCCACCTCAGCCAAAATCGCAGCAAACATCATAATTTTTCGGAATTTGAAACTACCAAGATGGTACTATAAGTTAGCATTGATTTTACAAAGCAAGTGAAAGTTTACGGGTTCGAAATATCAAATTTCGAGTTTTTCGGGTACAGCCTGGGGCTCGCTAAAAAAATGAGTTATGATGATTTCTCCTCGGAAACTGAATGTATCGGAAACAAAAAACACCTGTTAGAAAGAAGAGAAAATGCTGCATCGAATAGTGCGCGAGCTGCTCTTCTTTTGATGTTCTACTAGGATTCAGCTGGCCAAGTATGGAAATCGGTATCATCACTTAAAATTCTGTTAAAAATCTATGATAAGTTAAGGAAAGGAGAAAAAAGCAGTGCTATATTCTATAAGGTTTACTCTATCGAATCGTCTTTTGAACTCCTTCTAAAGATTGATATGAAAGTTTCAAAAAATCGTGAAACTCGACCATCTCAAGAAGCATAGGTCGCAGATTTTGGTTCTTTTCTGGAAGCTCATTGACTGTTTTGCAATAATTTCACAGCCATTAGAAAGAGAATAAAATTGTGCATCGAATGCTCTTAAGATCTCTTAGAAACCTTTGATCCATTACCTGTGGTGCCTGTTTGAAAAAAGCGAATTTACTTTTAAAATGACCTTATAAATCCTGAAATAAAAGGTGTGTGATGTTGCGACTTCATGGGCTTTGTAAAGCAAGGTTTACCTTATCAAAATGTATCTTAGCCGTATTGATACATTAAAAGAGCGCCGAGATCCAAGGTCTTAAAAAAAGCAGGTAAAAGCGCTTTTCGAACTTTAACAGCTCATAACTTCTTAAGAACTGCATGAGTCATGTTGCGATAGGTTAGATTTTTCTCATCAAGAGCTTTCTGATGAATATGATATGTGGGGGTTTAGGGATTCCTACGACCTATGACCCTGGGAGAAGACTTTTTTCACAAATTCTCCCCTGGCGGCCTCCACTCAATATATTAAAGTGGGCTAGGGGAGAATTACTGATGAAAAGGTTCCCCCTCCCCCCCCAACGAGCATAAATCGTAGGAAAACCCTACCCCACATGTTGTATATCTTCTGAAAGTTTTGATGAGGACAATCTAACTGTGAAGTTGCAATATGATTCATGCAGTTCTGAAGAAGTTGTGAGCTGTTGAATTTCAAAATCGCTTTCTTACCTGCATTTTTAAGACTCTGGATCTCGGCGCTCTTTCAAAGGATCGGTACGGCTAAGATACATTCTGATAAGGCAGCCTTACTTTACAAAGCCTATGAAGTCGCGACATCACACTCCTTCACATTCAGGATTTTAACTGTCAGCTGTCATTAAGCAACCTAGAATGGCCTAATTCTTTGAAAATTTGTCTCTCGGCGACCACCTCTCAAATCGAACTGATTCCTTGGCCATCTGATAGAGCACCATTTGCTCTTCAAAACTTATGAATTCGCAATTGCTGACATCTTTAACCACCAGATTTATGACAGTGGAAATAACGCATGATTTTATATCTTATCATTCGAAATTCTGGTTCTCGGCGGTTACTGCCTGGATCGACCCACTTTCTTCGCAGTACGTTATAACAAAATTTACTCAATGAAATCCGTAAAGTCTCGCTGAATGTGACTTCAAAACACACCATTTACTAAACTCCTTTATTTTAAATATTCATGCTGCTATATTCATCGTATACGTGGCCCTAAAGAGGGCCATTGGGTCACAGTTTGACCTAGAAGGATAGCTCATCGTCCATTTTCTCCCCCCGGTAGACGTTGTTGGGAGGTGAATGTCCTGCACTACCTTTCACTTTTAGCCTGGTAGCTGGGACCACCTTCACTTTTGGTAGGTCCGGCTCCCCCATCGCACCTTTGATTGTGGTACGTTAGGTATAAGTAAGGCAGTAAATTTTTGCTTGGTTTTGCAGATTTTTGTCTGGTTAGATTAACCGATGTGCTGATAACAACATCATTATCGATTTGCTGCTGATGGCACATCACACGAATACTGTTGGAGTATGGTGGAGAGGCACAACTTTGATTGATTTGTTCTGAGTCCAGCTCGGGGTGTTTTTGATGCCGCTAATTATATTCATTTGATGCTTAAGGCACAGCAGAAAGCCGATGTAAGGTCATTTTAGTTGTGTATCAAATAAACGTTGCTTATGGTTGCTTCCAAACGCTGCTTGTTCTAAACAGAAGGTCGCATGTCGCACTGGCGACCTGAAACGAAATAGTATCATCAAATGCGTTTTGATGAGCTGATTCCTAGTCTAATTTCCTTGATTGCTAAACGGCTCTCTAGTAGAAGTTATGGGCGTCTCCGAATCTCGCAAACAATCAGTGTCACACAACCAAGAATTAGCGGTACAAGGACCCTATTAAAAGCGTTTTTGCTCTTAGTCAGTACACACAACATCATGCCTATGGTCTTTCGAATTGGCCTTCAAAGTACAATAGGCAGACGTAAAACCTCAGTGACCCCATCGTAAAACCTCAGTGACTCCATACTTTCAACCGCTCACGACTTTTCTCACAACCAGAGATTCGATCAGCAGCTGGG